TGCGCATCGAAGTCGAATGGAAGCTTGACTCCAACACAGCCACCCTCGAAGATGCCATGGCCCTCGCCGAGCGATACGAGTCCATTATGGGTCAATCGCAACCCCTGATGCAGCAGCCCGCTCGCACTCAGTTCCGCGATCAACCCTTCCGCGAGCTCCAGTTCCAGCGACCTCCTCTCTTCCGCGCTCCACCTGGTCAGCCGCAGTTCCGCCCAATGGTCCGTCCTCCTCGTCCCGCCTTCCAGCCGACCCAGCCTCCCGCACGTGACCCCAACGCCATGGACCTCGACAACGTCGACATGCGCCCGATCAAGAAGCTCACCGACCGCGAGAAGGAGTACCTCCGCCGTAACGGAGGCTGCTTCCGCTGCCGCAAGTTCGGCCACATCGCCTCGCAGTGTCCCTTGAACCAGCCCCGCATCAACGCCATCGTCGAGACCGCCGACCAGGCCACCTTCTACGAAGATCAGGGAAACGACGAGGCGGCAACCCCTGGATACTACGACCTCTGAAGGACCCGGCGAGTTGCCGCCATCCGACTCCGACCCCCGACGCTGAACTATTGACTCTCGCCACCGGACCTCACCTGATCAACTCTCTCATCGACGAACCCCACCGCATTGCCGCCAACCACGGCAAGGGACTGCTTGTGATCGACGCCACCCTCAACGGCTCCCCGATCACCGTCCTCATCGACCCTGGTGCGACCAACTCGCACATCTCCGAGACCCTCGCCTCGACCCTCGACCTTCGAACCAAGACCACCGCCAACGCCGTCACGATGCCCAACGGCAAGTCCTTCCCGTCCTCCGTCACCGATCCCGTCGACCTCACCATCCACGACTACCACGCCCGCATCAACCTCTTCACCGCGCCACTCACCTGGGACGTTATCCTCGGCAAGAACTGGCTCGACCAGACCAACCCCGAGATCGACTGGCCCTCCAACCGAATCAAGTTCTCGATCGACGGGAAGCACCACACTTGGACGGCATCGCGACCCGACACCGGAATGCCACTCACGACCCTCGAACTCCGATCCCAGTACCACATGTCGACCCAGCAGATCAACGCACTGGCTTCGACTCCCGGCGCCGTGTATGTTTGTACTCTGAGCAGTGACTTGAATACAGTTGCTGTTGAACCCTACGACCCCGTTGCCCAACTTGCCCGTGTCCTCGAACCACTGACCCCCGAACACCGATCCATCATCGCAAAGTACCGCGATGCCTTCAACGAACTCAAGGAACTCCCGCCTCACCGACCCGGCATCGACATGAACATCCGACTCGACGACTCTGCCAAGCCAACCTGGTCGTCGCTCTACCAAATGTCGGCCGAAGAACTCGCTCGTCTCAAAGACGAACTCGACCGATTGCTCCGGATCGGCCACATCCGCAAGTCCGTCTCGCCCTTCGGCGCACCGATCTTCTGGGTCAAGCAGGGCGACAAGTTCCGACTCGTCTTTGACTTCCGCGCCCTCAACAAGATCACCGTCAAGGACCGCACCGCGCTGCCCAACATGCGCGAGATCATCGACCGCCTGTCCAAGTGCCGTGTCTTCTCCAAGCTCGACTTGCAACGCGGATTCCACCAGATCCGCATTGCCGACGCCGACACCCCCAAGACGGCCTTCAGGACCAAGTACGGCCACTTTGAGTGGCTTGTGATGCCCTTCGGCCTCGCCAACAGTCCCTCCGTGTTCCAAGCCGCGATGAACGACATCTTCCGCGAGTTCATCGACGACTTTGTGTTCGTCTACATCGACGACATCCTGATCGCATCCGAGGACGAGGACCAGCACATCCGCCACATCGAACTGGTCCTCGACAAGATCCACCGACACGGCTTCAAGATCCGACCCGAGAAGTGTTCGTTCTTCAACTCGACCGTCACCTATCTCGGCTTCATCATCGGCGAAGGACGCATCCAAGTGCATCCCTCGCGCATCGACGCCATCAAGAACTACCCGCGACCAACGACCGAACACGAACTCCGCAGCTTCCTCGGCTTGACCAACACCATCATGAGCTTTGTCCCTGGCTACGCTGCCCTCGCCGGTCCACTCTCGACTCTGATCACCACCCGCTCCGCCAACTCGACCAAGTCCGTCGTCTGGGACGACAACGCCATCGCCGCCTTCGAGCAGCTCAAGTTGCTCTCGCCTCAGTCGCTGCACATGGTCAACCCGGACAAGGACATTCACCTCTTCACCGACTGGTCCGAGTCAAGCGCATCGATTGGTGGATGGATCGGGCAGGACATGGACGGATCCGGCACGGTGCGCCCCATCGCTTTCAACTCGCAGAAACTGCACGGATCCGAACTCAACTACTCGCCCTACAACGGCGAGCTGCTGTCGATCACCCGCCACCTCGACAAGTTCAAGAACTACCTCGTCGGCCGCAAAGTCTTCCTCCACACCGACCAGAAGGCGCTCAAGCACATCCTCGACTCCAAGACCCTCAACAAGCGCCAACAGCGAGCCATCGACACGATGCTGGACTTTGACCTCGAGATCCAGTGGATCCCCGGCTCGTGGAACAAGGTCGCCGACGTGCTCTCGCGCACACCGACAGCCATCTCCAAGGCCGTCCAAGTCTCGATCATCAACGCGATTGTCAACCTCGGACCCCCGCCCGACGATCTCTTGGACACCATCCGCACTCAGTACAGCTCCGACCCGATCCTGTCAGCACTGATCTCGGTCCTCCGCGACAACTCGACCGACGGACTCAAGCCGTGGATGAAGGCACAGCTGCACCGCTTCTCACTTCGACACGGGATTCTCTACTTCGACTCGACCCGCATCTGCATCCCCGGCAAGGACCTCCGCATCTCGATCATCAAGGACCACCACGACTCTGTCTGTGCAGCTCACCCCGGCACCAACACGCTCTACAAGGCCATCTCGACACACTACTACTGGCCCGCCATGTCCAAGGACATTGCCGAGTGGGTCTCGCACTGCGACATCTGCCAGCGAGCCAAGATCCGACGACAACAAGCATACGGTCACTTCTCCCGGATCCCTGTGGCCACCCGCAAGATGGACACTGTCGCCCTCGACTTCATCCTCGGACTCCCGCCTGTCACGGACTCACTCTCGGGACGCACCTTCAACTCGATCACGATCTTTGTCGACTCCCTCACCAAGTACGTCGTCCTGGTTCCTGGCAACAAGACCGACTCGGCCGAAGACGTCGCCCGCCAGTACTTCCGCGATGTCTTTGTGCACTTTGGACTCGCCGGCACTTTCATCTCGGATCACGACACACGCTTCCGGTCGGCCTTCTGGACAGGACTTAACACTCTGCTCAAGACCGAACTCCGGATCGCCTTTGCCCACCACCACGAGGCCGCCGGACAAGTCGAACGCTTTGTGGCAACCGTCGCCGAGGCCATCCGCTGTTCGACTCTGGCCCTCGGCTCCCGCTGGATCGATCAAGTGCCATACATCCAGTTCGCGCTCAACTCACACAGCTCAGCTTCGACTGGACATTCGCCCTTCTTCCTGATGCACGGTCAGCATCCTCGCACTCCTGCCAACACCGACATCATCGCCGAGTCCAACCCTGCAGCACAGTCGATCGAGGAGATGCAAGCGACTCTGGACTTGGTCTCGGACAACATCGGCAAGGCCCAGGACCGGGCCCTGTACTACGCCAACCGACATCGACGCGATATCAGCTACGACATTGGCGACCAAGTCCTGATCGACACGACCGCGTATCACTTCAGCACGGACGACGTCACACCCTCCAAGATGCGGATGCCGTACTTGGGACCCTTCAAGATCATCGAGAAGATCGGAACGACTGGATATCGACTTCGACTCCCGAGGACCCTCCGATTTACAACCGAACTCCCCGCTTCCGCCCTCGTCCCCTACAACACACCATCGACCGACCAACTTGTGTTTGATGAACCCGGACCCAACCACAACGACGAATCAGTGTTCGAAGCGATCATTGGACACAGGATCAACCGACGACGTCGACTTCCTGGATATCGACACGAGTTCTTGCTCCGCTGGCAGGGATACGACCCATCTTACGACTCGTGGGCACCACTGGCCGAACTCTTGGATGGAGGACTCGCAGATATCCACGACTTCCTCAGCCGCAACCGCAACCTTCCGGAAATGGACACACTGATCGACCTTTGCCAAGCACAAGTGCAACGCAACTCGGGATCGAAAAATTGATGGTTTGACTTGAGCACAATTTTTCTGGGGGGGATGTCACAGATCGCTCTGCCCGCCTAGCTGCACCGTCGCACTTGTGTCACTGTTTGCGTCGCACACTTTCCTTTTCCTTTGTCCTGTGACGCCTTTCCTTTTTCCTTGCTCTCATGTTGCACACGCCGCTCTGTTTTCCCTGCATTTGTCATCGACCATGCATTAGTCAGACGCTGTGTCACCCGCATTTGTCAGCCACCGAGCATTTGTCAGACTTTCACATGTTTCTCCGGTTAGCCGTTGCTGCCTGGCTGCTGTCCCGCCGCCTCCGCTGCTTCGCCCCCGCTGCGGCAGGCTTCGCCTCCGGGACCGCCAGACAGATAAATAGCCCGCCTTCACCCGCTCATGTTTCTGGTCATCACCTTCGACCCCAGACACACTTGACTCTAGATCCTAGCCTCGCTAAGATCAATAAAACCCTTCTCTATCTTTTTCTTTTGATCTCCTCTTGATCCCGTGATCTGACAAATTCAGAACAGATCCATTACTAGAGTGCGCCACCTCTTCAGAGTCAACACCAAGTTCCCAACAGGATTGTCATGGCCACACGAACATGCATTAGCCAAGTCCAACCGGACCTGTCCCCAAGACACACTCTCACCATTTCGACCCACCACTCCACGACCACGAGTCAGGTCATTGGTGGTGGCAGGAGCGGGGTGTCAGAAACAGGGACGAGAGAGGAACAAAGGGAAGAGAGGATGGCATTCCATCATTAATTGAGAGGATATTTACTTGAGGCCTTGCCCATACAGGGGGGGAAACGTGCCCCAATGAATTGGCTGGGCAAGCCTCGGTTTATCAAGCACATGCATGGCCTCCAAACAGAGGGGGGGGGAAGGTGAAGGGAACAACAGAGCGAGGGATAGCCTCGGGGTCACACCAATGATGAGATGGCTGATGAAAACGAGGGAGTGGGCTGTGCGGCCGACAGGATGGGGTCGGGAGGGCTATCATATGTTGATTCATGGCAGGGTGTGGGAATCGGGACCCGAGAAGGGAGGGGGTGTGAACAAGGGGAGTGAGAAAGCAGAGGGTTATAAACAAAGAGGTGGCCATGTCATATACTAAATGGGACATGATGGTTCAAGAGTTGCGCTTAACCTCGACCACTGAGATCCCCAAATAAGATATCGATCGGTTATGGTATTAGGTCATCGAACTTGACCAGGAGATCAACCAAGCGTTTATCAACGGAGAGGAAATGAATGTACTAAATTGTGGAACATCCAGCAGGGTTAAGATCATCGACGCAATACAGGCCATATATCACTCATGATGTACGCTTGATCTCGCGGAGAAGGTCGATCGGGTTGAATTGAATATGATATTTATGAGTTTCCGATGCGGAAACCCCAATTGTTCACTAAAGGAGAGTCCGAATCTCCCCGTTTCAATCCACTGGGGAGTGTTTCAGTGATTTGCGTGAAAGATTACGAGGGATCCAACTTGGGTCACATATCACAATAGCAGGTATCATATCATGAGGCATTGTGGCAAGGTGAATACGTGTAAGGAGTGAACAAGCGCAAGGACGAAGACCAAGTGCTTGGTATGAGCTTTATTAGCTTTTAGCCCCGAACACCAAAGAACAAGTTTTGTTCGAACTGGTGTTCAACATAGGCTCAGACATGCAGGGCTATTTATAGACCGGGAGAAGGTCGAGGGGCAAAAGTGGGCGAGAAGGGTGGAGCATCACAGAGAAGCGAGAAGGGGGTGCGAGAGTGGCTGGTGTGCAAGCGAGAGAGGCTTGGCACAGCCCGGGGACATGTGCCGAGCGGTGGGGGAGGCAGGAAACCAGTAGACGCGGGTGGCAACGGCGCGTGCTCATGCATGGGGGCAAACAAACACGTGGGGACTCATGATTGGTGCGGAGGGCGAGAGCATGCGGGACAATCTCATTGGTCCGTTGTGATGCTGGTCATCACACTATCTCCTCCTTAAACTACGGCGTGTTCCATCTTGAGTTCTCCTGGGGCCAGGCTTGTCTGGGTAGCGTCGGTGGTACTCCGCGGCCACCGTTGGGGCAAAGACAATGTCGGCGGGCTCCCAACTTCGATCGGTGACCGGGTAGCCTTTCCAATCGATGAGATAGTGCAGCTTTCCGCGCACGAACTTGGAGTCTAAGATCTCTTCGACCTCCCACTCCAAGTTCCCATCGATGACCACCGCAGGGGGCGGCGCTTGCACCCGACCCGGAAGCGAGTTCTTCTTGTAGGGCTCAAGAAGAGACACATGGAACACCGGGTGCACCTTTATGTCCTTTGGCAAGTCCAGGCGGAAAGCCAATGTCCCGACGGCCTCGAGGATGGTGAATGGTCCAATCCTCTGGTAATCCAGCTTCTTGCTTGGGCGAGTGGTGCTGATGTTACGAGTCAGCACCCAGACTTGATCGCCCGGACGCAAGTCGGGAGCCTGGGACCTCCGGAGATCTGAGAAGTGCTTGTAGTCAGACTTTGCCTTCTCAAGATTCTCCTTCAACAGTGCCAGGTTCCGCTGGAGATGTTCAACCCTCTCCGTGGCAGAGGGAACATCAGGGCCGCCAGCGACAACGGGGACTTCGAACCTTGGGTGGAACCCATAGGTTGCCAAGAATGGCGAGGCATGTGTTGACGAGTTCTCGAGGTTATTGTAAGAGAACTCGGCCAACGGCAGCAGCTCGGCCCAGTCATCTTGCTGATACGACGTGTAACAGCGCAGGTATTGGTTGATGACCTGGTTGACCCTCTCAGTCTGTCCATCGGTCTGGGGATGGAAGGCCGTGGACAGACTGGTTTGGATCCCGAGCTGCGTGCAGAGTGCCTTCCAGAACCGAGAGGTGAACTGACTTCCTCGGTCTGAAACCACTGTGTCGGGGAGGCCATGGAGACGAAAGACATTGTCGAGGAACAGTGACGCAGTCTCCTCCGCCGACGGCAGTGAACGCCAGGACATAAAGTGTGCCATCTTTGTGAGGCTGCATACCACCACAAAGATGCAGGTGTGACCCTTGGACTTTGGCAGATCAGTGATAAAGTCCATGGTCAGTGTCCCCCAGGGTCGATCGGCTGTCTGGAGTGGCAACAGGAACCCAAACGGCTTGTGTCGCGGAGCTTTCGAGCGTGCACAGGTGTCGCACGTCGAGACGTACTCTTTGACATCTTTCCGATAGGTTTGCCACCAAAACTGTCGCGATACCAGAGCCAGAGTCCGTCGGATGCCTGGATGACCCACAGCGACTGGGTCATGGCACGACTTGAGCGCCGGAACTCGGCACGACTCTGGGACCACAATCCTGTTCTGGAAGGTGAGGTACTGGCCATTCCAGACGAACTTCGGGTCACGACGGTATTTGTCTAGACCGGGATCCCGAGCCTGCTCTTCGGCTATGAGCTGCAGCAAATCCACAGGGTCACTGCGACTTGCAACCGAAGAGCGGGCGTCTCTGCTTCGGAGCACGCGTATCACCGCGGCAGGATCGAGAAGCAGAGGCGGATCCCTCGACACGGAGGCCGACGAAGGGATGTAGTCCGAGCGACGAGACAGGGCATCGGCCTTGCCGTTCCTCGCACCAGGACGGTACTGGATGCGGATGTCGAACCGAGACAAGAACTGGGACCACCGTGCATGACGCTGGTTTAGGATGCGAGCCGTTGCCAGGTACTCCAAGTTCTTGTGATCGGTCAGAACGGCAACGGGATGCTGGGCGCCTTCGAGGTAGTGTCGCCACGCCTCGAAAGCCTCCTTGATCGCCAACAGCTCTTTCTCGTATATGCTGTAGTTACGTTCAGCATTCGAGAGTGTCCGCGAATGGAACGAGCAAGGATGAAGGCGATCATCAGCACCCCGCTGGGAGAGCACGCATCCAAGCGCAAAGTCCGACGCATCTGACTCTACGACGAACGGCTTGGATGGGTCCGGATGCACCAGAACGGGCTCCGAAACGAAGGCATCCTTCAAGGATCTGAATGCTTTATCGGCTTCGCGGGACCACTGGAAGCCATGCGTCTTCCGGAAGAGCCGAGTCATGGGCCCCGCGATCTTTGCGTATCCATCGATGAAGCGTCGATAGAAGTTCGCAAACCCGACAAAGGATCGAAGATCCGAGATGTTGCGCGGTATGGGCCAATCCAAGATCGCAGAGAGCTTGGATCGCTCCATACCGATGCCCTCGGGCGAGACCATGAAACCAAGGAACGAGACCGAGGTTTTGGAGAACTCGCACTTCTCCAGCTTGCAATACAGCTTTGCAGCTCGGAGCTTCGAGAGGACCTGCTTGACGTGCTCTACATGCTGCGACGGATCAGCACTGTAGATCAAGATATCGTCAAGATACGCAATTGCGAACTGGTCCAACTCGGTGCGCAGGACGTCGTTGATGAAGTGCTGGAACGTCGCTGGCGCGTTGGTGAGCCCAAAGGGCATCACCAAGTACTCGAAGTGCCCATATCGAGTACGGAAAGCTGTCTTCCACTCGTCCCCGGAGCGGATGCGCAGCAGATTGTAGGCTCCACGAAGGTCCAGCTTAGTGAACACCTTCGCGCCTCGAAGTCGGTCCAGCAGCTCGCCGATCAGCGGTAAAGGGTAACGGTTCTTTACCGTGATACCGTTCAGTGCGCGGTAGTCAACGCAAAGACGAAGTGAGCCGTCCTTCTTCTTGACGAAGAGGATTGGTGAGCCTGCTGGGGACGACGAAGGACGAACGAATCCCTTGGCAAGATTCTCGTCGAGATAGTCACGCAGAGCGTGAAGTTCGGGCTCGGACAGTGAGTACAGAGGCCCGAACTTTGGCGACTTGCCCGGCTCCAAGTCAATGGGGCAGTCATAAGGGCGATGCGGAGGCAAGGAGTCAGCTTCCTGTTTAGAGAAAACAGACAGGAAGTCCTTGTACTCCGCAGGCACTTCGACAGTCGCAGTGCTCGGCTCGTCAGTGGGCAGGACATGGACCTGAAAGATGGTCAGGGGTTGCGTTCCATGCCTGCATGCATCCAAAGACTCGCGCATCGAGCGGTAATCAATGCTGCAGACGCGGAGAGGAGCGTCCGAGCTGAGAGGAGGGGCGTGGACAAGGTCAGAATAATGTTCGACGGTTACTTTATTCTGAACAATGTCCGAAGAACAAACAACAGGAGGAGGTACATCAAGGAGGGAAAGAGAACTGACAACAGAAGAAGGGGTTTGGGAAGAGCGAAGGGGTTCGGGAGGAACAAGACAAGAAGGGGAAGACGAAGGTGGGAGCGTAGGAGAGGAGCTTAGATCAATCAAAGGAGTGGAATCATCAAGAAGGGGAGTGACATTGGAGGAAGTGGAGCAAGACGAAAGAGAAGTAGTGCATGGAGAGGGGTCGGAATCAACAGAAGGAGGGAGACAAAGAAGACCGCGAGACCAGACAATCTTGGGCTCGGCGGTGCGCAACCAAGGAAAGCCAAGGATAAGTGGTTGATGTGGAGACCTGATCACATCGAACCGAAGGCGTTGCGAGACGTCCCCGAGAATCACCTCGAGTGGAGCAGTCTCGCGGAGGATGGGGCCAGACGACAGCGGCTTACCATCCACGCCTTCCACTGCCAAGGGCGAAGCCTTGGAGCAGGTGGGGACAGAGTGTCGAGCAACAAAGTCCTCGTCGATAAAGTTGCCAGAGGCACCAGAATCGACAAGTCCTTCGCACGACAGAGAATCACCAGAAGGAAGACGAACAGCGACGGGAACAACCAACGAGCAACGACGAACAGACGAAACACAAGACTTTGGTTCGGTACCAGCTTCGGCACCAGGGTTGCGGCTAGCACAGACAGTTAACTTTGCCGAGGGTTGGCAGGACAGCTCAGGTATTTGCACCTGTGGATGAGGTGCAGTTCCCAGTGACACCAGAGGTGCCACGGGTACTATGCCAGAGCTGAGAGTGTCCGCCGGTCCAGAGGCAAGGCGAAGCTGTCCGCACATCACTGCTTCCCCAGTACTTACCAAAGGCACCTTACCAATGTCTTCACTTTCGGAAGGCGGTGGGCACGGCTCCGGTTCAAGGCCTTCACTTAGAACCGGGCCTGGTCGTTTCCCGAACTGAAGTCTTGCACTTCTCCATCTTCGTAAACGATGGTGCGGATGATCCTCGGGCCGGGAGGTCCAGGGGGCGGTCCGGTAGCTCTGGTAGATCCAAACTTGACGGGGCAGTTTCGTACCAAGTGGCCCTTCTTGCCACAGTACAGGCAGAGTCCAAAGCGGCGGCGGCGTTGTTTCTCCTCGGCGGTCAGGGGTCCAGAGACGGCAGAGTCCATGTCAGATCACGGGATCAAGAGGAG